CCAAAAAAAAAATCATCAGAATTGTATGGAAGCACAAAAATCCTCAAATTGCCAAAGCCATCCTGAGAAAAAAGAGCGAAACTAGAGGGATCATTCTGCCTGACTTCAAATTATACTACAAAGCGACAATATTCAAAACAGCATGGTATTGGGAGCAAAACAGACACACGGACCAGTGGAACAGAATCGGGAGTCCAGAAGTAAGCCCATATTTATATGGGCAAATAATTTTTGACAAAAGAGCCAAAAACATACAGTGGAGAAAGGAAAGCCTCTTCAATAAATGATGCTGGGAAAACTGGAAGGCCACCTGCAAAAGAGTGAAACTAGACTGTTGTCTATCACCACACACCAAAATTAACTCAAAATGGATTAAGGGCCTGAATATAAGACCTGAAACAATAAAGTGCATGAAAGAAAACGTAAGAGCTAAACTCAAGGACCTTGGACTTAAAGAGGATTTTATGAATTTGACCTCAAAGGTAAAGAAAGTAAAAGCTAAAATAAATGAAGGTGACTACACCAAACTAACAAGCTTCCACACAGCAAAAGAAACTATCAACAACGCCTCTGATAAGGGCCTAATATCCAAAATATACAAAGAACTCATACAACTCAATAACGACAATAACAACAACAAAAAAGCAAATGATCCAATCAAAAAACAGGCAGAGGACCTGAACAGACACTTCTCCCTATAGGACATACAAATGGCCGAGAAATATTTGAAAAGATGCTCAACATCGCTAGCTATTAGGGAAATGCAAATCAAATCCACAATGAGATACCATCTCACACCTATTAGAATAGCTATAATCAAGAGGACAAGTAATAACAAATGTTGGAGAGGATGCAGAGAGAAAGGAACCCTCACACACTACTGGTGGGACTGCAAATTGGTACAGCCACTATGGAAAACAGTATGGAGGTTCCTCAAAAAACTAAGACTTGATGTACCATATGATCCAGTAATCTCTCTACTGGGTATTTACCACAAAGATTCAAAAACCCATATTCGAAAAG